GGCCAAATCACATGATAAGTAAATTCCGGTGGGGCAACTACAGACTAACGCTAAAATCTTGGGGATGATGTTACAATATACTACTTTTGGAGAAATTTAACGAGAATAATAACAATTCTGCAATTTGCGCTTTTCACATGCTAGTTTTTTTCTATATAACTAAAAAATCAGATCAGTAAAAATTTTTTATTTTCACTTCACCATATCAAAATATTACAAAGTTAAAAAAATTAGTATAATGCTTTCTCAACGAAAAATCCATCAGGATTCAAAAAGTTCGGATGAGACAAATGAAACAGCGTCTCTTATATCTAGTGTGTTTAAAAATGATAAATATGATTCGGATAATTTGAAAAAAAATTCTTTACTTTGTAATTTCGGAGAATTGCCTGTTTGGCTTCAAGATAATTGCGACATTCTTAAAGGTATGAAAGAAATAGACTGTTTTTTCAATAAATTTATCATTTGTATTAACATTTTTTTTTTTTTTTTAGGATATAGAAGACCAACATTTTCTTATTTAAAATGTGTTGACTCATTATTTTATGTTCATAACGAAAGTGGTTAGTAAAAGAGAAATATATATCGATCCTTTAAAAATTTATAAGATCGACTAAGATTCAATAATTGCTTAACTTTAGTTAATATCTGGTCTCATCTGGTTGGAGCAATATCATTTATATTTCTGGGATTGATAACTTATAATTATGTATTATCATATCACTCTTCGATTATTTGGTGGGATGTTGCCGTTTTTTATATATTTTTGCTCGGTGCTATGGTTTGTTTAGGACTTTCTTCTTCCTTTCATACTTTTTGTTGTCATTCAGAGAAAGTAAGTTTTGACATTCATTTAAATTTATGAATCAATTTGAGACTAAACATGATATTTAAAAAAAAAACTTTTTGGATTACATTTAGGTATCTGCGAACTGGAGTAGATGTGACTACATTGGAATTGTAACTTTAATTGTGTACATGATCTATTTATTTTATTATTATTTTTTGATGTGTTGTATTTTATAGTGAAATTAATCATATTTTATTACAGAGGGTCCTTTTATCCAATGATATATTATGGTATTTACTAACTTTTATATTCATTGCACGCATTAATTTTGATACAAAATAGAATTAACTTTAACCTTTTATATTATTTAGGTTTTTATTGCCATAATAAATTACAGATCTTTTATCTTTCATTAATAACTTTGTTGGGTTGTGCTACGGTAACTACGATTATAATATCATTCTATTTTAAATATTATTGCATTCATCTTAAATTTTATAAATCTTATGTTAGATATGTGTAGCGCTTGCAAACAAGTTTAGAACACCTGAATTTAGATGGTTTCGCACAGGATTATTTATTTTCTTGGGATTAAGTGGGATTGTACCTCTAGCTCATGCCTTAATAATTTATGGGGTAATTAGATTTATTATTAATTGTAGACTTTCTAATTTTCTATTTTAAAATAAAAAATTAACATAAAATTATTAATTTGTTAGATTGAACTATCTGTTAATGTAATTTCACTTAATTGGTTAATAGTGATGGGGGTATTCTATATTATTGGTGCATTGATTTATGGTTCAAGGTATGTATCCTGTTTGTCTATTTTCCTTAAAAGGTTGGTTAAGTTAAAATAACATCACTTTTTTAAATAGAATACCCGAAAGATGGTTTCCCGGAAAATTTGACATTTATGTAAGCGATATTTCCGTCTTGTTGTATTATTGCTCATTATATGCATAATTAATTTTATCAAACTTTTATTTTTTTGTAGGGCTCATCACATCAAATATTCCATTTTTTTGTGGTGGCTGCAGCATTTGTACATTATTTTGGTGTTATACGGGCAATGATGTTCTGGCATGAAAAAAATCATAATTGTGAGCTAGATGTTTCAATGTTGAAACCTAGCTTTGCTTTTTGAAAATTGGCATGTTTGGTTAAACTAGTTTGATCGATAGACATTGTGATATTGTTCACCTTATTTATTGTAGTAATGGCCGTAGTTTTCACAACCTAATCACTTAATGCTAAAAATTATCATTCAAATCATCAGCAATGTTATTTTTGTCTCTCAAAAACATTTTTTACATGTTTAATATAAAACTATCAACTTTTTAGAAGGCACAAATCTTTACTTATTGCATAACATAAGGGAGTCGGCACACTTAAGAGTTGCACCTAAAAATTTTTAAGAAAAACGTATTTATTTACAAATTTTAATGAAGTAAAAATAACATTCGATTTACTATCGGATGATAAAAGAAAAAAAAATCAATTAAAAAAAGAACTTGAAATTTAAACTTTAAAATATATTATGCTTTTTCAGGTTGAGGGTATTATGTATTTAATATTGCCTTCCTCCAGATATTGTCCGAATGAGAAAAATTAAAAAAAAAATTGAAGTGAATAATACGTGAACCATAATATTTGTCATTTATTTATTTTGTTGTTCAGTAATTAGAACCACGCCAACGAGATGAATCGAATGGTATTAACACAATTTGATTCTGAGTGCGGTTTAACGTTTAACGGGATATAGCTGAAAAACCTAAGTGCGCTAAATTACCCACCCGAGCCAAAATGCTACAAATTTCTTAGCACTAGAATACGACTAAGATTTTTACAAGTTTGTAATATGCTGTATGTCACAAAATAACGGACATGGGTGTTATTTTGAAAGTAACTCCCATACGCGTCCTCGAAGCAGTCTTTTATGCATTACTAATTTTATAATTAAATTCTTATAAACCATTAATTAAAACTGTTTAAATTAGCAAAAACTTTTAAGTTCTTATCATAAAAAAAACAGTAAAACTTCTATAGAGTTTAAATTTTAAATTTGAACTTAGTCTTGAACTAGGTAGTTCAAAAAGTAGTCTTTAGATGATTGCAAATTTTTGAGTTCTCATTCGTTTAACTCATTATTTCATTATTCGACTTTTTTTATTTCAGTGAGCGAGCTAATTTCTTTTTTTATTCAATTTATTTTATTTATTTCCAATTAACTATCTTCTATTACCTCAATAAAGACGAGTACTAAAACATAACTCAAAAACCTGAATCCGTACAAGGTTACACGTGCTCAATAGTACTAAAAATTCCTAAATTAGTATCACTTTTATCAGTTTCCTTTTCTGGGTTTGTATTATTTACGCGTTTTTTTTTTTATTTTTCCCATAATTTACGGATACCCACGTATTGTTTATATAAACCCTCTCTCTCCATTTGATTTTTTTTTTCTTTAGAACATGGCCCAGGTCTGATGGTAATAACTTGACCCTTTTTGGACTAGTTATTGATGGGGTGGACTATAAGCTCGT